ACAATGGTTATAATGACATGTACAATGCTACAAAAGTCCTGGTGCGTGTTTGAAGTTGCTAGACTTTCCCAACTGTTATATCAAGCTTTAGAGAGAGTAGATAATTTGATAAATAACAATTCACATCTACTAAATGAATGCCAAACAAAGATTTGAGGCTATATTAGAGTTGGAGTTTTCTTTAGAAACCACCCACTCCATTCTAGAATTAACTCAAAGAAGAGTCACCACCATGATATTGTTCACTTCAATCGAGTACAAAACCCAATAAAAACGACCAAGAGAGTCCAAGTAAGAACCTTATAAAAGGAAAGAAACTCTTACAAAGGAAAGAGAATCCTCTAAAAAGGAGAAACTTCCACTTTTATTTATCTTCCCTAATCACAGGAAGAAAGAAAACCTTATAAAAGGAGAGAAACTCCTACAAAAGAGAGAGAACCCTTAAAAAAGGAGGAACTTCCATTTTTACTTATCTTCCCCGATCACATGAAGACAGAGAGGTGATGGTTATAGAGAAAGAAGCAGAGGGAGGCACTAGGGTTTTAGGGTTTTCTAGTTTTTTGAATTGCACAAAAACTAAGTACAAATCTTTTATTATCTAAAAATTCTAATTTTATAGTTTGATACAATGCCCAAATTCTTAAGAAAAAAACCAAATTAAAAAAACCGAACTTTCACGACCGAAGACCAATGAAAGGACCAAAAGGCCCTCATCCGCAACCTATCTGCAAATGCCTCCTCCATTGGCAAGGGCAGTCCTCTATTACTCAGGGAAGCATCAACCGACCTCTCACTGATATCCTAAACCAAAACCGCTTCCCCGCGCTCATGACCACGCTCTAATGACCCCATTTTTTTTTATTAAGGGACATATATTTTTTCTTTTTTATTTTAACCTTGTGAGTATACAATGGATTTTATTTTTAATAACACCAGTAAATTAAGCTCCAGAGGTTAGAATCGTTGATAATGAAAATTTATTATGGTAATAACTAGATTTATAAGAGTATGGTGTTGAAAAATTTAGACTGTATTAAATTACAAAATATTAATTATTAACTAGAATAATTCTAATATTAAAGCGGCTGGTATAAAAAATAATTAATATTGTTGACAGAGATAATAATAAAATCTTAAAGCATCTACAATGGTGAATCTCTTGAAGCAACTCTCCAAATGCTACATCATCATTATTCATATTAATTTTTTAATCCACTCTTACAAGACTCTTCACTCTAATATTAAGAGATTATAAAAGATTCCTTAAAATAAAGCTTAGTGTTTAGAAAAATTAATTTTTTTAAATGTATTAAATCAATATAAAGATACATTCTTAAAATACTCAAAAAAAGATTATTTTCTAAGTTTGTAAATATTTATAGAGA